CGTAACTTTATCTAGAATTTTTTGCAATGTAGTTTGTCGAAAATAATTTGAAATTTTTATTAAAGATAAATTCATTTCACGTGATTGAATGATATAGCAATAGTTGTTGCTTGTAGCAGTCAAGAAAAATATTTGAAAATATGTAGTCATCAGACGAAGATCTTCATTTTATATCGAAGCACATCAACTTGTCTTTAGGTGGTGAGAAAACTAATTGATTTTAAAAAACACTTTGGCGTATTTCTAGCAACAAATTCTGGTTATAATCTTTAGGAAACTATTGAAACCTGAATTGCCATTACACACAGAGCTCCTGTGAAGATTTTAGAATTCAAGTTAGCTGAAAAAGGAACGAGATTGTGTTTGCAATAAATTTTCAGTGGGGATAACGGGGGAAAAACTATGAGTTGCTAGAAAATAATTGAAGCGTATTTTGTCACCAAATATAAATTTCCTATAGAAATTCGAAGGAATTAGTCCGAAAACTTATTTAAAAAGCTGTTGAAATTCTGATTGCACTCACTGAAACAAAAAAGCGAGTTCTTTAAACTTTGTAATAGTGTGTATATGTTTGTCGCAGTTCTTCAGAAATGTTTTGAATCATTTCTTGCGGGTTTCTTTTATACGAAGCGTTTCCTATAAGTCTTCCTTAATATTTCAGGAACCTGTTGTGGGGCTTGGCTACCAACAATGAGAATCGACATGTCGATTCAAAATTAGTTTCTGAGCTTTTTACAGTGCAGATTTGAAATCTATAATATGAAAGTATCAAATATGTGTTAAAAATAACATGCAGAAGAAAAAAATATTCCCCAGTGTATTTTATACCCCTAATTAAGAAATAATTATCAGAAAAATTATATATATAAATAATTACCAGCTAAATAATGTTAATCTTTAAAGAAAATTAGGAATAAAAGGGTTTCACAAACAATAATTAAAGTATAATTCACCTAATTAAAGAAATATTTAGAAACAAGCATAAGTGAATCGCAGTGAAAATGGCAAAATGGAGAAAATGTCAACATAGTGGTAAAAATAGTTATGCTTAAAATTGATACATAGGCTCATATCAACAAAAAGAGAGTGGTTAGTAAAAGCAATGGGTTTATTCACAAAACTGGCCTTGGTGTTGGATTTCATCAAGAGTTATCTTTATTGTTCTATTATGCAACTTTTGAAGTAAAGTAGTTGCAACGAAACTACGAGAGAAAAGTTAGCTTTATTGCTTTTATTAAATTTCAATGATAATAAGTAAAGCATAGATGGCAGATATTAGCTGGTAGTCTAGCAGTCAGACTAACTGGTAGTCAAGTGCTGGCGTGTAGATTGCTAGGCATTTTGTATTACGCTATAAATTTATAATTACTATTTGGGTGAAGATGAACATGCTGTAGTCTGGGTATGATGATTCAGTAAGATATGTCAGTCCCCCTTGAAGAAGTTTCTATATTATTGGGGCATGCATTGCAAATTTCTAATCGCATGTACTCTATCATGGTGCAAAGGATTATTTTAGATCTTTTTAATTACTTTTATGAATGGTTAAATTGATGAAAATTAATCTCTACGTTGATTTTAAAAACAATTATAATGTATGGTATCTAAAAACAAACAAATATTTTTTATTGCAGAAGGGTATTGGCATAATTTTGTCCAAAAAATAAGTGAATTTTAGGAAATAAGAATAGCACCAGATAATTTTTTTTCAATTTTCATCAGGTAAAAACCTTAAAAACTGTGCATTTTACATTTTTTGAAAGACATTGCACTTTACGCGTTTACTATGCAGAATAGAGTAAATATTCGGCAACAATTTGCTGATGAAAAATAAATAAAAAGATAAAAAGCCTATGTAGACCTTTCTTTTGACATCTCCTCTTAGACAGATGAGTTCGGGGTCGTGAAAAGTGTTTTTTTACATCAACCAACTCTAAATAAAATACTTATACAACATTTTCTGTTCTTATAAGAGATTTTTGAAATTTTAAACACACTTTTTTGCGTGATCAATGCAGGAAAATAAAAGGTTTTTACAGATTGTGTCTGAAACATAAAGAGAAAGGAAGAAACAAAACATAGGGAAACAACTGCATTTCAGGATTGTAGAAATCCTATTTTTTTCTTCTGAAGATATTGTACAGCATTCTTGGAGAGCACAGAGTCCTAGTTTTCGTTCCAAAAACAATTTTTTTATTATATTTTTCAAAATAACTGTTTCTTTATTCATTCGATTGAAGTTAATATAATTTTTTACGTCATGGAAAGTGGAATCAGCTATTTTTACTAAACTAAAGAGATATCACATTCTCGAAGCTATAAATCTGTATTATAAGATATCTTAGAAACTCTGAGACTATATGCATAAAACTATACGAATCATTGAAATATGGAAGAAGGACCGCAAGAAGAAGAGTATAAAGCGCGCACAAATAAAAAAAGAAAGATGAGGTACCGTAATTAACTTTTGACCTAATTAATGGATTTTTACGTTCCAGGATTTTTACGCATGTATTCATCATATTCTCAAACATGCAGATTATGAAAGATAAAAACGTTTTAGAATTCAATCTTCATCGTTTCGGGAGGCGTGAACTCAAATATGTCAATTAGTTTGAGCAAACAGTCTTAAAGCTGTGAAATCGGACACAAAAATAACATTTCTGTATATGCATACTTTTATTTGATAGAATCTGATTCCCTACCCTTATGATGTAGGGTTAGTCACAATCTATAAAATATGATAAAAATGGTTTAGTCAAGAGAGAGTTCAAAAATTTGGAACTCTTTATGATATTTTTTTTTTTGTGTGTGTGTATTTCACCATATCTAGAATTTTCTGATCAAACATTTTTCCCACATTTATAAATTTGCTTTCCAAATATAATCCCATGCAAAAAATAAATTTTAATAATTATCTAGTGTTTTATGAATTGTAAGGTATACCCATTTTTTATATTGTTTTAAAGAATGCAATTTTATATAGAAAAATACAAAATTTGAGAAAAATCGATAGAACAGTTTCAAAGAAATTCTATTAAAAAGAAATGTCTATGTAAAATTTAATCTCTTAGAAATTATTTTTCGGATTTCGTTAAAATTTAACATTTTGCCGTACAAAATTACAATCCTTAAATTATTTTTTAATGTGTGTACTTCACAATTAAATTTTTTATTAAATTATTAATTCAATAAAATTTTTTCAACTTATAATTATTAAATAAAATAATAAATAATAATAAAAACTAAAAAATACTTTTTGTACGAAATTAGCTTGAATAAACTAATTTAATAGTATGAAACAATTTTTTTATCATCTTTTGCATAAAAATATCATTAGACAAACGAATTTTATAAATGTGTGCAAAAATTTTTCAATTTCATTGAAAATTTCTCGATATATGGTGAAATACTCAATAAGTAAAATTAACATACAGGGATCCAAACTTCGGCAAGCTTTCCTGGCTAAATTTTTGGGACTATATTCCCCGAATTGAGCAAACGACTCTAATTTAAAGGATAAGGAACAAAAATCCATTTAAAAAATTATATGTTAATTCAGAGCAAGTACAATTTCTTGTCTGATTTTTGGATTAAAATATTGTCTGCCCTAACTAACTAGCTTATTTGCAACTTGAAATCTTCACTTTCGAACCATTAAGATTGAGTCCTAGTATTTTGAATTTAGATCATTTGATCAAACGTTATTCATGGTGTTTCTTTTTTTCTTTGTGCACAGTACATATGTAGATACATTCATAGATAGATACTCTCTGCAGTGATCTGTAATATCTAAAAGACGTGTGGAATAATTTTAAGAACTATCTGTTTCAAATCAAATGACGTTGTATTTCGTGTCTGGAATTAATAAAAATCATTGTAAATTAAGCAAGGTTCAAAAACGAAGCAATAAAAAAGAAGAACAATCTTCAAGGATTCAACAGAGCCATGAATCGCCGTTTAAATGAAAAACATAAAACCTCATTGATTCCATTTTTTACTTAAGTAACTCATTTTATCAGAGTTATAATAAACAAAGAAGTGATTAAGTGATTAATATAATAATGTATGATCGTGGAAAGGAGAAATAAATAAATTCTTCCAAATAAATGATTTTAATACCCCCTTTAACTTTTGATATAAACCGAAGCCTTACTTTCCCGTCAATTCAAACCACAAAAGGGTGAATAATTAGAAAAAAAACTTCATTTAAGCCAATAAGTTGTATTTAATCCAAATAAGAGCAAATCTATGTTCTTAAAAAATTGCTTAAGTTATGGTAAAAATAATGGCAAACTTTGTATTTACATTATCTCTACATTTTCAATGTTTTAATTAATATGTTTTTATACAGTACTGATAAAAACAAACAATGAATTTGCATTCTCAAATTTTTTGTTAAACGTTTTGGTAAAAATTAGCAATAAATTTATTTAAATTATTGCAATCTGTTTTGAAATGTAGAAAAAAAAATTTTTTAGTTAATGCTGCATAAAATGTAATCTTTCGGAACTTTATTACTGATCTTTTCCCAAAATGTTAAAATTTAAATTCTTTAAAAAGCATTTTGTAATTTTTAAAAAATTTTCATTTGCTAAGAGTACATTAATGCATTTCAAAATACATGCATTTTTTAAAATTATTTCATGTGTTTTGAAAAGCATTAAAGCATGCAGGCTTAAGAATTTCAATATAATACTGAAGATAATTTATATTTCTAATTAAAATAATACAAATCTTCCTATATTTCTACCGTTTTCTATGAAAGATCAAAAATTTTGTTTTAAGCAGTTTTATAATTATAAAAATAAATACCTATAGTTTGTTGGAAGAATCGTTTTGGTTGAAACAGCAAAGTTTATCAAAAGTTTTATCTTTTTAAATTATCTTTTTATTTCATCCATATTTTAAGAATTTGTAGATAAATATACATTTAAAAAATATGAATAGATAAATGAAAAAAATAGAATTCAGAATTATTCACACAGAAACTCACTTACAGGAGCAACAGTAGCCGAAGAAATTTCATCTTTAACCTCTTTCGGAGATGGATCATCTCAAACTTCACTCCACAGTTGAGAGTATCCTTGTTCGCATAACTTATGCCGGCTCTACTTGGCGCCAGAATTCACTCGCCTTGGCGAATTTTTTCTCAACTAGGATGAGTACTCCTGTCAAAGTTTATACTTATAAACTTGAATAAATTGGATAGATTTCTCTAATTTATTTTTACTAAAACACATGGTTCCATCAGTAAATATTGTAAGAACATCGAATTTTCAGCTTTTAATTATTTGTTTATAGTTTTATTTTGAATAAAAACTTAAAATTGATAACATATTACTAAAAAATTTATTTTTATAATTTAAATGCATAATATATTTATTCCAACAATCATCTGTATGTCTTAAGGAGACTAGAAAGATCTTGATTGTAAAAATATGAAACAAATTTTTACCACAACGTAATAACTAAATAACGTGACAGCATAATTTTCGTATTAAATTACGAAAATCAAAAAATGATAAAAGAAAAATGATCATGTTGCAGCAACCAGAGGAAATCTTTGAAATCTTACACTGTATATTCCATGCCATAAAAATTTCTAAAAAAAGAGCAAAAATCTTTGGATGTCATCAGGATAAACGTCATAATGAATTTTACCTGTAAATTACTAAATTGAGTACTTGCAATTCAAGGAGCAGAAGATCTCGGATACCCACACATATGACCTATGATGTCAGCGACAGAAGATCGTTTATATGCAAAAGGACATGTTTAAACTGATCATAAGTTAGAGTGTTAATTAACGTGAAGTTAATTAAATAGAACACCGTATTGCACATCGAATTTGTTGAAATATAAATATTTCTCATCTACATCTTTTATCTAACATAGATTTATCATTTGTTTACGCATTTCACTGTAACCGTGATATATGTTTGCTTTGTGTACCTGGCAATTTCGATACCGAAATAGTTTGTTTACTTTCTGCATGGCTTCGGGTCTGTCTTTGTGTTAAGTAAGAAATATATAGTGAAGGAAATAAAATCTTTGTAAAAGTAATCTTCGTATAGTAGAAAGCGTCATTTAAGTGACTTGATACTTGACAGTTTTTTCTTACTCAAAATGGAACGGAAAAGCAGCTGCTAAAGTAAACAAAGGTCATGTTTCAACAACCAATCAGGATCGAGATACCCACGCTAATAATACCCACACTCGAGATACCACATCATTATCACCTTTAATGGTATATACCTGTAATATTTATCATTTCTTTAAAATATTTTTCTAGAGCTTCAGTTTTGATGATTATTAAAGGACCATATATCGCGTACAACGCAAAACGTATTTGTGAAATTTTTATTAAAGGTTTGAAAAATGATGCTTTTACATTAAAATATAAAGAAATTATGTGAAATGATCTCATTACAATAACTTTTAAGATAAACATTGGTTGCGTATTTGCAATTATTTAACAGTAAATAATTATAAAAAAATTATTAAATATTTTTTTTAAAAATTAACTTTTGCATCGTTACTAAACGAATTCTTCAGAGAATTACATTCAACGATTTTTTGTAACTTAATCCTAATATTAATTCGTAAATCGTGACGATTAATTTGTGAATTAATCATTTGTAAATAATTATTAAATACAAAAGCATTTCAATAAATATCTGTCTATTTACAAGTACTAAAAAAAATCTAAATGGAGCTCCAGATAAGCAAGATTGAAATAACATCCATATCAAGTCATTAAATAAATCTAGGATTCAAATATGTGGTAATACTATGAAAAAATCCAAGATATTTCCACTGATAAGTATTTAATTTTGATGTTACCGTCTGTTCATAGTCAAAAACAAACCAAAAGAAAATAATAATTGAGAAACTGTGCATAGGAGTTGGTGGTGTGAAAAGTAGTTGGGGAGAGGGAAAGTATCTGTAAGTACAAGGTTTATACTTCTTAATCCTAAAGGAAATAAAAATATTTATTTTTGAAGAACAGAACAAATTTCCTGATTCCTCTAACTGTGGACAATTTTAGGCATATTTTATTTTTATCAGCGTCAGAAAAAAAAACTTACAAGCAATCAATAATTATTAACCACATTTTTTTAAAAAGTATGTTAAAGAAAAAATTAATTCATAAAAAAACTTAATGCACAAAATTTATATAATTTCCATTTTTTTCCTTCTAATTTGGAATGGGTGCACCAGCAATGCAGAACATCTTTATACAAGCTCCAAGTTCCAATCACCTGTGGACAACTTGTTAGACAGTCAATGCATAAAAAGTAGACAGGTAGAGGAAAAGTTTATTTTTCTTAAATATGTTGGAAATATTGAATGTTAACTCCAAAAGTGTATTCTGTTTACTATTTTAATGAAAGAGTTTTACTTTTTTTTCGTTAAATTGCGTTCATAAGCAAAATGGCGAGTAATAGTTGAGGCAAGTTTTTCCTCATAAGTTAGAATGTTAATGAACATAAAGTTAAATGCAGAGCCAAAATTAAATTATTAATTAATTAATAATGAAGTTAATTAATTACAGACAAAATTTTTTGAAATATAATTCTTTTTCGCCTACGTCTTTTACTTAACTTACAGATTCATTATTTGTTTATATCTTTTATTGTAACCGTAATATATTTTTGCTCCGTGTACCTGGTAACTACGATAGATAATTAATTTGTTTATGTTATACATGGCTTCGGGCCTGTCTTTGTGTTAAGAAATAAATATATAGGGAAAGAATTTAGAAGAAGTCCCTCAAGAGAATTGATACTTGTGGGTTTGGCTTACTCGAAACAGAATGGAAAGAACAGTGGCTAACGTAAACAAATGCTACGTCTCGACAAGCAGTCAGGATTGAGATACCCCCCCCCCTACGTCACTTGCAGACATACCATTGTTTTTAATTCAGTCAGTTTGAATAAGTAAGTTGTTGTGCTCTTCAATAATTAAGAATTCTGTTAGAGATAAAAAAAAAATCCTTGCCTGACTTTTTTACTTCACAGCGTTTTTTTTTTATTTAGTTTTTTGAACTAATTAAAATATTAGGTGCAGATTACTTGTCTACTTTTACTTAAATTAAATATAGAGGGAGTAACAAGAAAAGAAATATTAAAATTGTTATTTTATTGTTTATAAATTGAGCATAAAATGTAGATAGTGAGTTTGAAATCAATATTAAGAAATACTTTTTTTCTACGATTAATAAAGTTTTCCAAATACGCAATTTCTTAAATATGCTTTATATTGTTTAAAAAAGTTAAGGAGAATTAATGTTTGCTAAATAATAATTTAAAATAAATACTTCATGTGTTTCATAAAAGATAAAAAGTGTCATATATAGTCAGATATTTTCAAGAAATGTTTGCTAAAGATTAATTGACATAATGATAAATTATAAACCTCATATTTTATTACAAACTGCATAATTTGGATAATTTCCTTCAGTCAATAAATAAAAAAATATTGCGTAGAATTAATATTTTTTGACACAGAAGTAAGTTTCCAAAGATAAATATTACGTTATAAAGTAATATTATTCAAATAAGAAATTGAATTGAATTTGCTTGAGAGGTTAGAATAATAAGCTTTTGATGTAAAATGTCTAAAATCAAAACAAATTCAATGAAAACTTTTCGATTCCACATATGTTGGTTCGCAAGGATGCTTCAAGCGAGGATATTTATTGAAAAACACAAATATTTGACGAGTATCAAGATTCTTGACAGAAAATCAGAAATACGAAGACATGGCCAAACATGTAACAAAAACAAAAATATCAAAATAAAATCTTTTTCCTAAAAATATAAGATATATTTTTATTATGTGATTTAAAATATACTTTTGACAAATGCATGAAGAGAATTAAAGTATTCTTAGTTTAATGAAAATATATACTAAAATTGTTCTATTTAAAATTTCTTATATCGGTCTTGTTTTTGAAACAAATTCATTTCTAACATCCTAAGTTAGAAAAACTGTTAAAAAACATCATTTTGAAAAGATACCGTTTTGATTTCGACTGCGTCTTTGACTGAAAAAAAAGTATTTTCAAAATTATCAGAATATGATAAAGTATACCGTTATTCTGCCCAACAATTCCTAAATAAGAGAAGGCCTCTGAACGGATAAATTTAGTAGTCCGAAGTAACGAACATAAACTGCGCAGTGGTAGCTTAAGAGTTAAGGTAAGTTAATCACTACTTTCGGATCACTTAGCTGCGCAGTGGGGGTTATTACTTTTGGACTACTAAACGATAATTTCGCCATGATTTTGGTAAATTATCAATAAAATAAGGTTTTGTAATATGTGATAAAATGTGGTAAAATATAATAATTTTATCATGATATACCTTAGATCAGAGTTGGGCAAATATGTAATCGATTACATTTTTAGAATACAGTAATCAATTACTTGTAATTGATTCTACAAAATTTGATTACAGCTGTAATCATGATTACAATAGTCAATTACAGTAATCAATTAATTCAAAGTAATTGCGAATACATGTGATTACGAGAAAATCGATTACGGGTAATTATGATTACACGTAATCAACATTTATAACTACCTGTAATCATGATCACCAGTATTCGTGATTATATGTCAATGCGGTTACTTATTATAAAACTATATGATTACAAATAATTACGATTGCATACTATATGCAAATACATTATGTAAGAATTTTTTTGAGGATATATATTTTTATGTGCGTAGAATGTACGCACTCAAGCACTTACAATTTGTGATGATAGTTTGTGAAAATAATGTTTATACGTATGCATGTATTTATGTACGTACGTACATGCATTGAGTAAATTAATGATAATTGCATGTCTGTACAATGTATTAGGTATATACTATGTACGTATTTACGTACAATATGTAAAAATGTTGCTTAAAAGTACACTATATGTACATAGTTGCGTAAATAAAATGAATACATGTATGCATTCACATTTACATGTACATAGATATATGGATCGAACACGCAACGTATGTACTTATATAACTATATACTTTGTTAATATATATGCACATGGAAATACAAAAAATGGTTATATGTACAATGTACGT